GACTCAATTTGCTAAAAAAATCTGTAAACCGCTTAGAGAGGGCTGAAAGCCCTATGAAGCGGTATATAAGTCTAATTAATAATAAATAAATAAATGAGCACTACGTACTATGACATATTATTGTAAAAGTTCTCACAAACAAGTCCTAAACCACTCATCAGATCTCACATAGCTGAGTAGCAGCTATATAAAATCTAAATTAGACTATCACATTTTGCAAGAATTCATTCATGATGACATCAAAGAATGGGGAAAGCTGGATCACCCAAATTGTAGTCTCTTACAATTACATGCTTCTTTCTTCCAAAGATGTTTTTTGGTTCTTTATGTGAATCCCTAATAGAGTTCTCACCTTCTTTGGTCTGTAACCTCCTTATCCCACCAGACGTGCCCTTCTTCTGGGTCATATCTTGATTCATGCCCAGAAAAGGAAATATGTAGAAAAGGAAGAGGGTAGAACTTTTATTGGCCAAAGTACTTCTGAGTATTATCCAGGCAGATTATTTTAAATATATACTTTTAGGATAGAGTTGGGGCAGGGAGGAACCATTATTTTTTTTAAATCTAAAGTATCAGGAGAATGCAAAGCCTGAACCAGTATCTGCATACAGCTTGTTAATTAGTCCATATGATCTCAAAGCAAATTTCAATAAGACAGACTAAAGCCCATTTTATGCTCAAGGTTGTTTGTTTGTTTGTTTATATTTTGTACTTCTTAACCACCCATCTCCCTCGGAAAGGGACTCTATAATGCCAAGTGATAACCCCTGTATGATATCACAGCAAAGTGGGACTTCAAATGTTCATTGAGAACTAGAATGATTAATTTGACTATGTTTTCAGTTCAGAAGCAACAACAATTCCCCAACAGCTGCAGGCTGGGAGCTACGATTGGTAGGAGTTCCATCTCACCCATCTTCCTGTTTTTCAGATTCTTCTTTTTTTTCAGAACCAAAGCTTCCATGTTTGTCAAATTATGACACCTTGTTTTGGTGAAAGAGTGGGATACCAACTGTGCCTTGGTTTTGGCAGAATATTGGCTGAAGAGAACATTGACTGGCTCAAACAAGCAAATGACACTTGTGCAGAGGCCCAATGTTGTTTTAGCCAGTGCTGTTTGAGTCCAGCGTAGCCTAGGATCTCCTAGTTAACTTCTTTAGAAGGGAAAAAACCAGTTGTTCAGATTATCCTAAGAGAAATATCCAAGTCACCTAAAATAATCTAAAGTACCATGGAGGTAAAGCAGGTTTAGAGAATGTTAATGAAATAAATTATACTTTAACAAGAACCAGATAGCATTCCTTCCCTTCCCTACCCTGATTTATGTTTATTCTCCCTCAACATCATTACTCCTTTAATTTCAAACCTTTTCATTTCAAATCTTAAAATTAAACACACATCCACAAGCATGTTCTTGTTTCAAAAGGAATGTTTCACACTTCCTTGTTACACAGCATTTGTTTTAGCTTTCCATAGCTCTCCCCAAAACCAACCAAGGAAGATAAAACCACAGAAATATAATATTGTTGTGCATGGCTTTGCACTAAATTATCTGTATAGTAAGCCAAAAATAGTTTAAGATTTGAAATTAGGACACCTGTTTCCCCCATTAACATGCAAAAACATTTTTCTTGTTCAGAGACCGCATGAGAGATTTCACAGTCCTTGCAAAATATCACATTACATCCACATAAATGGAGCAACAACTCCTCTATGAATGGAGGGGGGGAGTTCGGCTTCTCTCTGCCATTTAAAGGCTGCAGCAGGGAGAATCCCAACTTTTTTCCTCT